TTAGAAAATATTTATTGATCAAGTACTACTCTTCTAGGAGTTGGAGAAAGAGCAATGGCAAATAGACCACTTTCTTAACTTGAAGAAGCTTAAAATTAAGGGGGAGCTGACAAGGCAGATTGTAGGCTATTATTTATTTTTGTTGCTATTAATCCTCACCTGAGATTATTTTTCCATTGATTTGTAGAGAGAGTGGGAGGAAGAGGGAGATACACAGAGAGAAACATCGATGTGAAAGAGACACATCCATCAATTGATTGCCTCCTGCACACAACTGAGGTACGTACCCTTGACTAGAATCGAACCCGGGATCCTTCAGTCCAAAAGCTCATACTCTATCCACTAAGCCAAACCAGCTAGGGCTAGAATGTTATTCTTATTCCTGTTTCTAACTTGGTCTGGATAAAATGTTAACCTCATTATTTAGATTTAGATTTTTTATAAACAGTCATGGTGACCATGGATCCCAGTGAACTCTAGTGACTGCTGCCCTGCTGTGTATGGAGCAGTGGTGGAATTGAAACAGAAAAGGCAAAACATGGTCAGGAATTATGTCCCCCTTCTGAACACTTCTATAGCACTTTGTTTATACAATAGCATCATGCTTTATGACTTAGTTACTTGTGTGTGTCATTTATAGAATTCTTTCAGGCAGCACTCACATTACGTGAAACATTTTAAAATACTGGTTTTTGTGGGTACTCAATAAATAGTTGTTAAATGAATGCAAATACTACCTGAATGACCAGTAATATAAAATAACGGAATAAAATAAAAGAATTAGTAATCTATCACACACACACAATCTTGTTTTAAAGAAAGCCTTAGAAATCACGACTCCACAATTATTATTTAAGACACCAAATATGCAATTATTTGCAATACTGCTTTGCACTTTTTCCAACTCAGAGCTGATCTAAAATATCAGTTTTGAAAACAGGCATTCCTAGGTGCCTCCTCATAGCATCTGATCTAGTTGGACTAGGAATCTATTTTTAATAAATTTTTCAGGTGAGTCTTATAATCAGGCAACATTTTTAAGAACTATTGTTGAAAGATGTGTGACATGGTAGAACTTGCAATGGATTGAAAATATGAAGACTAGAGAGTCCTGCATAGGTGAGCACAATTTCTAGTCCTACTTAATGCTGATTTAACAGATAAGATTTGGGGATTACTTATATGCCTGTTAGAAATGGCTTAGATCAGGGGTCCTCAAACTTTTTAAACAGGGGGCCAGTTCACTGTCCCTCAGACCGTTGGAGGGCCGGACTATAGTTTAAAAAAACTATGAACAAATTCCTATGCACACGGCGGTGGCAAAAACACCCGGCGGGCCGGATAAATGTTTTTGGCGGGCCACATGTGGCCTGCGGGCCGTAGTTTGAGGACCCCTGGCTTATATGCTACTTTAATGTTGCCACCCTCAGTTTTGAAAATGTGTTTGTGACATGTCCACGTACAGGAGAAATAATCATTGAAGTTCCTTAACAAGATAGACGCCACATATAATAGAAATACTATAATTAAACTAACAGAAGGAGTTTCATGTTAGAGAATGCTCTCCCGAATATAGAATTTGAATTAAATGATGCCCATGCACTCATGCTATCTTGTCTTGAGTTGGTCATATACGATTATACTCATAAACACATAAACCTCAAAAAAGCTCTGTGAAACAGAGCAATTTAATTCCTGTGTATAACCCAGCAGATGTCTTTATATGTTTTCAAACATGTCCAAGAATATAGGAATGTACACAGACAAGAATGCTCATAGCAGCCATATTCATAACAGCCCTAAACCAGAAACAACCCAAATGTCCATCAGCTGTAAAATAGTGAAGTAAAGGGAATATTGTACAGCAATGACAATAAACAAATTATTGTTCAAACAACATGAACGATTCTCACAAACTATTTGTGCAAAAGAAGCCAGCCATAATAGAATACGTATTGCACAATCTCATTTATATAAAGTGCAAAGCCAGGCCAGCTAACCATTGGGATTAGATGTCAGGACACTGATTATCTGGGTGACTGCTTATTAGGAGAGGGCATAAGGGGGCTTCTGCTGGTAGTGTTTTATCAGATGCTGGTCATATGGGCATGTTAATTTTGTGAAAATGTATTGAATGGTACACTTGTAATTTTTGCACTTTTCTGTAAGTATGCCATCTCACTAATACAATTACTTTGAGAAAAATATCTGAATATGTTTCTCCTCCAATTCTGCATTGTTCACACAATAGGGGAATGGCTGTTGGTTATCTTCACTGATGCACAGTCTCCTGTCCTACAAAGAGCTACAGAGAGTTTGTATAGGAAATGCATGACAATTTTCAAATGCAAAGATTATGCCTTTTATCTACTTCCAGTCTATTATTTACTTTGAATGTGTTTTCCAATAATGGCCCTATATCTTTGTGCTGATTCATCCTCTTCACTCTGCCTGATCCTCTGTAAGAAGATAGAACTCATTTATGTCAATGGTTCTAATGAAGTCTGCAAAAGAATAGACAAGGGCTAGGTTCTCCAAGGGTCACCTCTGTCGGCTATATCCCCATCAGCCGTCATGAACAGCCACTGCTTCCAGGCCAGGGGACCCTGTGCATGAATGTGTTGACAAGGCATGTTATCACCGATTGGAATGACAGGTCACTGGGTCAAGAGCCCTATTGTGGATGAGGACAGCGAAGGTGGCGCTGGGATTGAGCTGAGGAGCTGTTGAAAGATCAGTAATGGAAAACAGCTTGGATGGCAAACAATGTGGGAGCTGCCAGAGACCTCCATCAATTTCTTTGACTATTTTGGGGGAACCTCTCTCCAATCCTTTGGTGGGCTCTCCCATCCAACAATCAGTACATACAGTTCTTTCTCAGAGGATTTAGGGGCTCCAGAGCTGCTTCACCAGCAAATGCAGGGAGCAGGAAGCCTGGGAATCTGCGTCTCCCTGGGGGGACACGTAGCGACAGCTCCCTCACCTCTACTTCAGGGACCCCTAAGTCAGGATCAGAACAAGGATGAGGTAAGAGAGGAACACAATTTAAGGGGGAGCCCAAAAATTTGGTAATCAAGATAATATTTCAGTACAATACTTTTAAAAATCAGAATGAACGTAAAATCCATGATGATCAAAGTATCATCATTTACATAAAGACAGGAGCACTATTGCTAATTTTTCTTTTTACCACAGCCACCAAAGTGGGAGGACACCTCTAGGGGGAGCTCTGGAGCATGTCACACTCAGAAGAGTCCTTGAACCAGAATGGAATCCGAGGTGAAAGGAAAAATCAGTAATACCACTCTTGTCTTTATTTCAAATGGCAATATTTTGATTATCATAAATTTTATGCTCATTCTTATTTTTTTAAATATATTTTTATTGATTTCAGAGAGCAAGGGAGAGAGAGAGAGAAACATCGATGATGAGAGAGAATCATTGATGGGCCTCCTCCTGCACGACCCACATTGGGGATCAAGCCTACAACCAGGGCATGTGCCCTGACCGGGAATCAAACCATGACCTCGTGGTTCATAGGAAGGCGTTCAACTACTGAGCCACGCGAGCCAGGCTGTTCATTCTGATTTTTTTCAATATTGCACTGAAATGTTATCGTGACTACCAAATTTTTGGCAGGGAGGGGCCATGTGTCATTTTGATTTGGGGGTTTTCTTTTGCCTCACAGGATTTAACCCCCCCACCAGGCTCCTTTTCTCACCTCCGTCCAGTTTGCAAAGGGCACCTCTTTCAGAGCTGTCACCTTCCCAGGACTGCCTCCAGAGGCACATGCTCACTCTGAGCCCTTTCCCTGTGCTCTTGGTCACTGTTGTTATACTTCCTATGATCTTCCTTAGTCTAGCAATGATTTTAGCTCAATCTCCTTTTCTTCCCTTTCACACAGTAAGACCCTCACCGCCCCCCCTACCCCCACCCCACTCTAACCCAACTTGTGGGAAAGCTTCTGTGGAAAGCAGTATTTGTTTTTTACCCACAGGTAAGTGGACCATGTTCCACCAAAGGCATTGGAGCTGTGCACTCTTGTTTCTCTTGTTGATTGGTAACTTAAAGGATATTTGGAGAGATTTGGATTTCAGCAGCTGCCATTATCTTGGACTCCGGAAGTCCTCTCCACCCCGGTTTTTTGACCCCTTTTGGAGAGTCTGCTGAAGCCAGAACCTTCTCTTACTCAGCTGCCTCATTTTAACCTTCTTCCTGAACCCTTTCTCCCATCCTCAGGCCGACAGCCTCAGTAGTAGAAAATGTGAAGCAAAGAACAGTGCGTAGACCTTAGCATTCCAAGTGCAATACCCCTTTCACAGAAAATAATATTTTTTTTATTTAAAAAAATTTTTTATTGATTTTAGAGAGAGAGGAAGGGAGAGGGGGAGTGAGAGAAACATCAATTGGTTGCCTCCCACACACCCTCCAGGGATCAAACCCACAACCTGGGTATGTGCCCTGACCAGGAATCAAACTGGTGCACAGGACAATGCACAATCAACTGAGCCACACTGGCCATAGAAATTCCCCCGAGCATACTTTCATATTTAAATCATTGGGTGCATGGCTAGAACTGTGGCCTTGGCCATCCTCTCTCCCACCCCCCTGGAACAAGAGAGGCTGCTAATGAGTATTTAAGTTTTCTAACCTCTACACTGGGAGGGAGAAGGGGGCTAAAATGGATGTTGGATCCGCTGACCAACATTGCCCATCATATTCACCTACTACATCTCATCAATCATTATTTCTGCTCACTTCACCTCATGGCATCATTCTTGAATCTCCACAGCCACCTCCCTAATTCAAAACCGCATCCCCTATAGCCTCCACTTAAAAAAAAAACACACCTCCAAAATGGTTTCTATTTGTTATGTGCTTTTGCGGTAGTATTTGAGACTATTCAATTCTGCTATAAAAGACAAAACAAACAGGATGGATGTAACTCTTGTTGGGGTCCAGCCTCAGCAGGTCCAGGGGTTCCCAAAGGTGTGGACTGAGGCCGTGAAGAATGAAGGACACAGAGGCAGCGTTCAGTTGATGGGTCTCGAGGTGCAAAGGAAGAAACAGTGGGTGTTGGAGGGCACAACAATCTGATGTCTTGCGTTCCAACTGCTGAGTCCTAAAGCTAAGAATCCGGTAAAAACACACTAGTCAGAAGCCAGCAGGCTCGCTCCGGCTCCCGTCTGGATTCACAGCGGCACGTGGCTGAACAGGTAGGACACGGATTCACCGTTGTGGGTCTTGTGGATCACCTTGGCCAAGATCATCGAAATGTCAATAACCTGGATCTTGGAGCAGTGACTCATCTTGTCCTCTTGCGGGATTGTGTTTGTGACAACAACGGCCTCAAAGGGGGCACTATTTATTCTGGAAATAGCCGGCCCAGAGAAGATCCCATGGGTAAGGATGGCATAAACTTTGGTGGCTCCGGCCGAGATCAGCTTGTCAGCAGCGTGGCAGATGGTGCCACACGTGTCAGCCATGTCATCCACGAGGATGGCCACACGGTTCTTCACATTGCCCACCAGCACCATCCGGTCCACTTCGTTCGCCTTCTTCCTCTCCTTGTGGATCAAGGCAAATTCCACATTCAACCTGTCTGCTATCGACGTGACCCTTTTGGCTCCGCCCGCGTCCGGGGACACGATGATGCAGTTCCTCCAATCGGCGATGTTCTCCCGAATCCACTGCAGGACCGCGGGCTCCGCGTACAAGTTATCCACAGGAATGTCAAAGAAGCCCTGGATCTGAGGAGCATGCAGGTCCATGGTGATGATGTGGTCTGCGCCAGCGGCACGCGAGAGCATATCGGCCACAAGTTTCGCAGAAATCGGAGCACAACTCCGGTCCTTCTTATCCTGGCGGGCGTAGGGGAAGCACGGGATCACGGCGGTCACCCGGGACGACGACGCGATCTTGCAGGCCTGGATCATGAGGAGGAGCTCCGTCAGGTTGTCATTGACCGCCCCGCAGCCGCTCTGGATGATGCACACATCCTTCCCTCTCACGCTTTCAAGGATCTCCACTCTGGTCTCCTGGTTGCTGAACTTCTTGGTGACCACCTTGCCCAGCTCCAGGCCCAGCCGGTCAGCCACCCGCTGGGACAGGTCCTGGTGGGAGCTGCCGCTGAACAGCACGGTGTTGGTCATCTTGGGGCTCAAAGGGGGCGCGGCGGAGACAGACGCAGCGGGGGCACCGGAGCCTGCGGCGGGAGCGGGAAAGCGCGCAGCCCGAAAAGGGGCGAGCGCCAGATGTTGGGGTCCAACCTCAGCAGGTCCAGGGGTTCCCAAAGGCGAAGAAGGAATGATACCGAGACTGCGTTCAGTTGATCAGCAGCCTAGCCAGGTTCTCTAGCCAGGATCTCCAGCCAGGTTCTGTCACAGAAAATAATAACCTCCCCTAAAAATATTTTACAATGCATTACAATTCATGAAGCTCCAATGCGAAATCAAAACCCTGTCACATAAAAAGCTCTAACTACACATGTAAACAAGTCTATGCTCTAAGTGGAATATTACGTTGGATTCATGGCTTTAAATTTATTTCATTACCAGCTATCTCGTGGCAAATGAAATGCTGAGAAGCCGGAATGAGAAGTGACTGCTCTGGTTCCCCTGCTCAGGAATTTCATCTCACACATGTGAGGTGCCATCTTCTGGCGAAAGCGCTTCTGCACCTCCAACCCACAGCAAGCATTTCCTCTGAAACAGCCTATAATAATAGCATCTGGCCCACTTATTTCTGAAATAAATATAAAAAGGGAAAAGTCCTTTTGCTATTATTTAATCAGTTAAAAATATGAGTCTTCAAAATAAGTGCTGGGGATGATATCAATGTCAGTTTCCTGGTTTTGATATTGTACTGCAGTGAGGCGAGGTGCTAACATTGGGGGAGGCAGGGTGATGGATGCAAGAGGCCTCCGGGTACATTTCTTTGCAACTTCCTGGGTATCTATAATTATTTAAAACAAAAATCTTTAAAAAATTAAAAGAAAATAATGACAAAAAAAAGAAAGGTTTTCATGTTCTATAGGAAAAGCTTTTAGTTTGAAAGATAGGACAGCCCTTATTAGCTGGGATCCAAGAGACAAGCTGTGCAGACACACTGCCCAGCAACCTAAATCCCATTGCAGATGATGTCGGTGAGAAATGCTTCACGTGCATCTGAGAAATTGGTCTGCACTGATACCCAGGGCCACAGGAGTGGCTGTCTCAGGACTTCAGCTGACACGTGGCCTGAAGTGCTTGTCTTCATCCTGACCTGCCGGCTGGGAAATGTCTCTGAGCACACCTCATGCATTGTGCCATCGTTGCCTGTGTGTGACAGGCTGAATAAAAACCCCCAACGCTAGCCTGTCCTAATCTCTGGGTCCTGTAAATGTCACCTGGTTTTGAAAGGGGGCCGTGGCAGATGTTGTTAAGGATCTGGAGGTGAGGAGACCATCCTGGCTTATCCAGGTGGGCCCTAAATGCAATCCCCAGTGTCTTCATAAGAAAAAGACAGACAGAGATTCCGCACAGACACGCTCCAAGGGGAAGGCAATGTGAAGGCAGAGCAGAGAAAGGTCTGCAGTTTCTGATGTTGGAGAGTGGAATGATGCAGCCACCTGCCAAGGAATGCCAGCAGCCCCAGGAATGCCAGGCCGGACCAGGCAAGGAACAGATTTTCCCCTAGAGCCTCTAGACACCTTGATTTCAGCCCAGAAATACTGTATGTAGAATTCTGGCCTCCAGAACTGTCAGAGGAGAAATTGCTGTTGTTTTAAACCCCTAAGTGGATGACAGCAGCCACAGGAAACGAGTATGTCATGAGGGTAGGAAGTTTCCTGCACTGACCCAGCGGGATCCTTTGGACACCGTGGGTGGAGCACTAGATGGGGCATCAAGAGGCTTATGTTCTAGTTGATGTCTGAGGTCTATTCTGCCTCAAATATCCTGGCATTTTACTAACTTCTGCTGCAGTTGCAACCTCTGTGCTCATGGGGGGAAAGATAAGTCTTCTAAAAGTAAGTGTATGTCTTTTCTATCTCATATTGCAATAGGCATATTCAGATGCTAATTGAAGTCCATTATCTTCTCCTACCATAGCCTGAGTATGTAATCTAATTAGTTCCAAACCTGCCCTCCCATTTCTCATTATGTTGACATAATGATTTTCAGAATGTTGCAACTGCAAATGTGATCTGTGCATCAGCATCACCTGGGAACTGGCTAGAAACGCAGGCTTTCCTCTCAGGCCTCACCCCAGACTTACTGAATCGGAACCTGCGTTTTCACTCACTTTGCAGATGACTGTATTGTGCATAGTAAAGGTTAAGAAGCTCTGCTCTAGGACCCAGGAAACCAGCTACATCTCCAACGGCCTCACATAGCTGAGCCTTCATGTCAATTCTCAACCCTAGGTTTTATGCTACCTGGAAATGTCAGTGTTTTAAAGCACACCTTACCTTTAGCACAGATATAGCATCTACTGCTGCATCAGCACGCAGGAGATGGCGCTGACATAATACGTACCATTCATAACACTGTCAACGTGGTCGTTTTCCTAGGAAACAAAGGCTGTGTCTTTTCCCCAGCATTTGCTAAAATACCGCTTTTATTTGTGGCTCTCCCACTGCCAGGTCTCATGTTGTTTTCCTCAAGCAGTGTTATGCTGGTGCCAGCTGGGAAGGGCCAGCTCAGCCCGCTGGGTTTTCCTTTGCTATTGTCACTATGCTCACAAGTTAGCAGCCTCGCCTTCTTTGGTCCCCAGTTTGAGAGCTCCGTGGGTGTTCCCTGGGCTTGTCTTGCAGTTTGTTTGGGAACAGTCATGTTTCCATAGTTCCGATTGCTCGGTTTGTCTGGCTTCCCACTACCAATGTTTTCACCCTCCCTGGGGCAGATTTGTCCATATTTGTTGCCCTTGTTTGCAACAGTGCAGCATTTTGACCCGATTTCACAAAAACACACGGTGCATTTCTCCTCATCCTGCCCTAATTGTTTAGTTTAGAGTGTGCCCTGTTTTGTCAAGATGAAAGTAAAAGTTGGCTTCCGTCTTTTAGCCGTTCCAACCCACATTCCATGGATGTGAACGTGGGATCCTTGAAGCTCATACATGGGGACACACCTTTTTTCCCTAGTTGTTTTTAGAGGAAATGACTTCCTGGTCTATATTTGTCCGCTGGAGAACAGTCCGTGATCACCAAGAGAAAAGAAACTAAAAAATAGCGAATTACTCAGAGAAAAACTCTTTGCTAGTGACTTAGTGAATAAGAAAAATACAAACCTCACATCAACCTGACTTAAATCCTACCTCTCTTTGGAACAGGCCTCCTGGGGTTGCAGACTACGCCATCAAAGCCACAAAAAGCAAATAATCCAGGAAATCCAATTGCCAGGGCCGGAGGATAAATAGGAGCAAGTCAACTTTAATTCCACTCTCTTGGCCAGAAAAAGCAGAGGAAATATAGGAATGGATTCAATGCTACCCATTTTTCAAACCAAATATTTATTTACAATAACCATATGGCCAATGTTTACTTGATTTGATATTTGTATTTGTTTTCTATTTCCCCCTAAGCAACCGTAACCATATGGCCAATGTTTACTTGATTTGATATTTGTTTTCTATTTCCCCCTAGGCAACCAGAGAAATAAATGGCTATGTTTTTAAAATAGGATTAAGAATGAGTTGGCCATAGAAAGACTTAAGACTCTACCAGGCAAAGAGAACAGCATATGCAAAGGTTCTGAGGTGGGAACTTTGACCTTACTATTTTCAGAGAATGAGAAAGGGGCCGGTGTGGTTATCATCTTCCCCCATAGTATAAATAAGATCCACTCCCATAGATTATATATTTGGTGGTGAAGATCAGGATGAAGAACTTGAAAATGGAAGAGCTAACGATCTAAGATTCTAGAAACCACAACTGGGTCAATCCTTTTGCTGTGACCAAAGGCAGTGTCATTGCTTTCACACAGGACTCCCAACCATGTAAAGGCTTCCCATCTCTCAAAATCTATAGAGGAATTCAGGGTGGATTTCTAGAAATAATGTGAGACAAAGCATTTGTCATTGCAGAAAACATTAAGCAGTATTTCTAAATTAGATCCTTTCCATCCCTTCCCCAAATAAATGGGTCTTTCTTTTTAGCAAAGGGCTGTAGAATTTTCCTAAGTAATTTTTTTTTATTTTGATTCTAGCCTCGCAACAATTTTACTTTCAGTTAACTCAAAATATAGAAAACTCTTATTCATTGCATTAGGCGCAATGAAAATAGCGACAAAACCTACAAGAGGCAGAAGGGTAGGTCAAGGTAGTGGAGCTTTTGGCCCATATTCCATAATATCTCCACAGTTAGTAGTCTACTGGTTGCTTTCATATGTAAGAAATGGGGTCCCTAAACTAGGAATCAGAAAGCTTGGGTTATAGGCCTGGATAAAAGCCTAAGAATAAAGGATATGTCTTGTTCACCTTTGTACAATTAGCTCTTTTGAGGAAACAGTAATTTAATACTAAATAAAGGGCTGAATGCTGGCTAGCTAGCTGGCTCACTGGTTGGCTCATTGGCTGGCTGCATAAGTAAGTGAGACTGAAGGGAGAAAACAGAGCACAGGCCAGAATAAGATTGCTCAAAGTCAGGTCTTTTAAGAAACATTGCCAACGGATGATTAGTTTTCACTTAGTTGGCCATAGATAGGAAAATAGACATTGGCTTCACTTCCAATCAAATACTCATACCATTCCATAAAGATGGGCATTAGCCATTTGATTTTGAGAAAACCTATCAAACTCCATTGGCATCAACATTCTCATCTCTAAAATGAAGTAGCTAGACGAGGCTATTTCTAGTTTCTTTTCATTTCTAACTCCTTAGGGTTCTATGATATTCACTACTAGGCACAAGAAGATCCTTGATCATGAGAAATGTATTTCAGAACCTCAGTTTAAGGGCAGTGGCCTTTCTGCCATTTTCTCTTTCAACTTGGGAAAAAATGCTTAGAACACTGACATTAATCTCATCAAAAATATTGAACTAGGCATTTTAAGCACATGAAATATTTACATTGAAAGAAAAAAAAGAAACAATAAATCCTTGTTTTCTGTGGAGTTCCCAGTTTTATAATTCATCTTGTTATGTGGCCAAAAATCTGTTTGGCAAGAGTCTAATTCCATCCCACATGCCACTCCTCAGAATTCTCAATCTGATATGCCTGATGATTGGTCATAATTCCTTTCCTTGTTTAAA